GGGAGTTTCCTAATTTACCTCTTCATGGTACAAAGGGAGGCATTAACTATAACCCGATCTTGGCTCGTCGTCGTTTTGGATACCCTATGAGTGACAAACAAAACAAGATTTTGTTGGATGGTTTCTTCCTCAAGGAAGGTGAAGATAATAGAGCATTTAAAGAGAAGATTACTCGTGCTTATCATGGTATTCATAGGAAATAAATATTAGAGTTAGGAATTAAAGGTTGTCCTTCTTTAGAGCCTTATATCCAATGGCTACAAGCTAGAGAAATTAAGATGAATATGCCTTATTCCCATCAAGAAGCTTTGATCTTACCTTCTATTGATCCTAATCTTATTTCTCTGACTGATGTTGAAGAACTTCAGATTTCTTGGACCAAAATGAAACAAGAGAGATTCGCTTAGAGGAATAAGTATCAAGTTATAGATATGGATATTTAAGAACTTCAGAAGTAGTTAAAAGAAAAAGGATGATCTAATCGAGGTTCTTGAGGAGCATGTTGTGGAAGGACAAAAGGAGCAAAAGGATTTATTTTCCTCTAGCATCCAACAAGTTCCTAGTGCTCATGATTTTTCTCATATTCTTCCTACTTTTGGTGCTTGGAAGGGTGTTGTTGACAAGCTTGTGATTAAGAACGCTTAGCTGAAGTCTTCTTATGAGGGTAAGGTTAGGAGGCTTAAGAGGAAGTATCAACATGGAGTTGGATCGTCTTCAGACGTGGTTCCTTTGGACCCTTGGATTCTAGCTTTATTTTCTCTTTTATTTAGGATTCCTTAAATTTTTTACTAAAGTTGTAATATTTCCCACATTAATGGAATGAGATATTCAGATATTCTAAAATGCGTTCTTTTTTATGTTTCTAAATTGTTTATTACTTTCTTAAAGTTAATTGAAACTTGTTAAAAAATTTAAACAAACATATGCATTTGATATCATGCATCATCCCGCACTTGGTTTTTCATTCCGCAAGTTTTCCAAGTGTCTTATTCATTTTCTCTTGGTCGTTAAGAAGTCAAGTTGCCTCATCAGTTACTCAGGAAAATTACCAAAGGAAGATGGATGATCTTGAGCAATCAGGAACTTTGTGAGGAAGTGACTACTTTGAGGTCTGGAATGGAAAGACTTACTGCTTTGGTGGAATCTTTGGTGGCTACTCAGAATTAACCACCATCTCTTCCTCCTCCTTCTCCTCGTGCAACTTAGCCACAAGCTACTGTTATTTATAAAATATTGTCAGCTCCTGTTTCTAAGGCTCCAGTTAGTGTTCCACAACGTCAAATGCCACATGGTTTTCCATGGGGCATGCCTTTGAACTTTACTCATGAAGGTTATCAGTCTGCTATTGAGATTCTTGTTGTGCAACTAGTTATAAGTTTTCCTCCATCAGTGGTTTAGACTGTGCCATATGCTGATGAGTTAGAGTATCATGATGTTGCTCCAAGTTAGAGCGTTGGTGTTTATGATAGAATGGATAAATTCCATGATCTAGGAAATGTAGAAGGAGATTAGAGCTCTTAGGGGAAAAGAGATCTTTAGTAAGAATGCTCATAAACTATGCATTGTGCCTAATATGAAGGTACCTGCTAAATTCAAGATCCCAGAATTTGAGAAGTACAAGTGTAAATCCCGCCCTCATAGCCATTTGGTGATGTATGCAAAGAATATGTATACTCAGACTGATAACCATTAGCTCTTAATCCATTACTTTCAAGATAGTTTGTCTGGTGCTGCTCTTGAAAGGTACATGGGATTAGATAATTTTCATATTCGTAGTTTTAATGACTTGGGTGAAGCGTTTTTCCGTAAATATAGATACAATGTTGATATGGCGCCTAACAGAGATCAACTCAAGGCCATGTCTCAGAAGGATAAGGAAAATATCAAGGAGTATGCCCAGCAGTGGCATGAGATTGCTGCACAGATCAGGCATCCCTTAGAGAAGAAGGAAATGTATAAACTCTTTTTGAAAACTCTGAGTTCCTTATATTATGAAAGGGCAGTGGCGAGCGCGCCTAGCGATTTTACTGAGGGGGTCCAAGAAGGGCATTTGACTAAAGAATGTAGTTCTTCAGGTGGTTCCAAGAATTTTGGAAGTGGTTTCTCTAAAAAGAAAGAGCTTGATTCTAATGATGTTTCTCAGGAAAAGCATAGGAAGCCCAGAGGGAGGAATAATCATCAATAGGTGACAGTTGTCCCATCTATTGTTAATCCTGCTTCTGTTGCTCCGACAACTCTTGCCTATCAACCTTATTTCCAATAGAAACGTATTCATCACAAATATATTCAGCAAAATTATTCTCAGAAGAAGATGCAGTTTGACCCAATTCCAATGGCATATGCTGAATTGTTCCCTACTTTAGTGCAGAAAATCTTGTGCAAACCAGGTCTCCACATGCCATTCTAAAAGAGCTTCCTTGGTGGTACCGGGCTGACAAATATATTCTTACCATCAAGGGGCACCTGGTCATAGCATTGAGAATTGTTTTGGTTTGAAGTCTAATGTGCAGAAGCAGGTTCAAAGAGATATTCTATCTTTCAAGGACTCTGGACTTAATGTCCAAGCATGTCCAATGCCCAATCTAGGGGTGCTGCTATAAATATGGTGGAGTATTGTCAAAGATACTATCATATCTTCGATGTTAATTTGATGAGATGATCTTTGGTGGATATGTATAGGACCTTGTATGAGCTCTGTGATTATGAGTATGATCATGTCTCTTGCTAGATTTGTTCAAGAGGTCCTCGTGGTTGTTTTATGGTGAAGAAGGATCTCTAGGAGACGTTGAACCAATGGCTCATTTATATTTCCAGAGCAAGGGCTGATGTAGATGAAGTTAATGTAATTGATCCTCATTTCAATGTACTTGAACCAATGGTGATTTCTTACAACAGTTAGAAGTATGGTGTTTCTCCTTTGGTTATCAGTCTTCCAGGGCATGTTGTCTACCATAATGATAAAGCAGTTCCATATAAGTATAACATAACTATGATTGTAGATGGAAAATAAGTCAGTATTATGTCTCTTCCTTCTGTTATTAACATTGCTAATGTTAGTAGAGTGACTTGTAATGGCCGTGTATTCTCTTATGTACCCCCTAAGAATGTTAGGGATATTGGTAAGCAAGTTCAGGTTTAAGGACCCATTATGCAGGCTGGATCTGGGTTAGTGACAGGTCAGTCTAGTGGTTTGAATGAAATGCCGGTGTTGATGAGCTTTTGAATCTGACTAAGAAGAGAGAGTATAATATTATTGATAAACTCATTCAAACTCCTGCTAAAATCTCTATTTTATCCTTGCCGATGATTATGGTGCTCACAAAGAAGCTTTGATGAAAGTGTTCAATCAAGTGTTTGTTGATCACGATGTTACTATTAACCAGTTTGATGGCATTGTCAGACATAATTACATGCAATAATTTTAGCTTCAGTGATGAGGAGTTGCCCGAGCAAGGTAGAAACAACAACTTGGATTTGCATATATTTATGAACCGTCATAAATATGCTTTATCGAATGTGTTAATTTTCAATGGTTCAGCGTTGAATATGATGCCTAAGTCCACTTTGTCAAGATTGGCGTATCAGGGAACCCCTATGAGATTTAGTGGGGTAGTTATGAAAGCTATCAATGGATTGAGGAATCTGTGATTGGGGAAGTTGATCTCCCCATTAATATTAGAGCTCGTTCTTTCCAGATGACATTTCAGGTGATTGATATTTGTCATACCACAATTTTTGACCTAAGATCCCATCTTCATTTTCATTGTTTTATATACATCAAGGTCACGAAATATGGTCGGTTTCGAACATTTCACCTTCGAGCTTTGACTGTGCAGAGCTTATCGAGTGTTGTGAGCATTTTATCTTATGAATGACTAAACACTAATCAAGCACGAAGTGTATGTTTTATTTTTTTTATTTCATGTGCAGGAAATAGGTCTGAAAGAAGAGCATCAGACGTCATGCCTCAATTAGGGTTTCGAGTCTCAAGATAGATATGCAGTCGATCGTTAATTCTCAAAGACTGGTTCATCAAAAGAACTTTAAGAGAATCGTGTGTTTATTTCCATGCTCTGTCCAACAGATAGCCTCAAGTGTCTCTGAAATTCTTCAAAAAGAACAATCAAAGTTCTACTGCCATTGGTTCTTGTGTGTTTCATATTGCCTTGAAATACAAGAAAAGTCAAGCTATGCAAGTCAATTCTGACTGCTTCGACCAAAAATCATCTGCAAATTTTCTTTAAAGAGTTGAAGACAATTGTGTTTAGAAAGCCATGAGAAGCCTTTATGGGACGTCTGTCATGATTTGAGAATTTTTGGATCTCTAAGTTCAATTAACTGTGCCAATTTCTCAACGCGGTAGCATTTCGACTCAATTTCCTTTTCTAGTGATTATTTGAAGCTTTTAAGTATGGTTCGATTTCTTATACTTACATGACGCGGGTTGAATTTCGTTAAAGTGGGATGATTAAATTCAAGATTGTTTTGGAAGAATTTATTCAGAATACTTGGAATTTTCATCATGTGAATTCAAGTGATAATTAAATAGAAGTTGTCAAAAGATGTCATTCAAGAATAATTGTTCGTCGCATTAAACATTTATTCAAGATTATTTTTGTGTGACTATTTTGATGAATTCACATCATGGCCATTTGAATTCACACGAGGCATTTATTCAAGAAGATATTGAAAAAGGAAATTCAATTCAAATAATCGTTTATCACAAGATTAATTACATGATGGTTGCTATTTTATTACAAAATCAATTCATGAAATTTATTTGGATCTCTATTACAAAATGCAAGATTGAAGTCTCAAGGCTTGCATTATTATTTATTCATCATTCAACAATTCATCCAAGTATTATTCAATTCTCTTCCAATTCAAATGGAATATTTTGAATTTCATCAAGATGAATATAAGATTCAAAGTTTATAAAGATCCAAATATGTACAATTACAAGGGAATTGAGAATTATATTGAAGATTAAGTACCCATTCATGTTACAATTTATTTGGAATTATTATTACAAGGTTAAAAAAGAAATTACAAGTTTGTACATGAAAATCAAACTATTATTTCTTGCTCCAATAGCAGCCCCAATGCTGCCTATTTTCCAGTATTGTTTTAATACAATAACAGTCCAATTCTTGGGTATTTTGCTATCCAAAACAACAGTAAAAAAAACCCCAATGTTTTTCATTTTTTTACCACCTTTTTTTCATCATAAACCAGTCAATTTTTGTGGTATTTTGCTGTAAAAAAACTGCTGTAAATCAGTCCAAAACAGGCTGCAAATCAGTCCAAAACTGCTCTATACAGTCTGCTCCAACCAGCATCATAATAACCACAAATTTGCATCAAAATGGCTGAAAAAAATTGTGTGAAGAAAGCATCAAAACAGTAGGCAAAAACAATTCAAAAACTTATTAGTTTTGCCTCCAAATCTCACTCCAATGTGCCTATAAAAAGGACATTGTGTAGAGAAGAAAAATCAGAAAAAAACACACATAGAAAAATTCAAGGAGAGAAAACTAGAAAAACTCAGCAAGAGAGAAAAGAAAAAGGAGAAAAATAGTTGACTTATTTATGCATAAAATTTTCATTCACATATTTGAATCTTCTTTGTACCACTACTATGCCATATGATTGTTTGACTTATTACCTTGCTGTATTTTTTAGAGTTGCTGTAACTTGTTAACATTTAAAAAATGTTAATAATAATAAACACAAGAAAAAAATAATTTTAAAATATTAGGACAATAAATTTTTTAGAAACTATAGATTATATGTGTTCAACCCACTCTACAGTTTACTTATAAATCAGTTAAAAATAAACAAAAACAAATCATCGCAACCACCATGTCCATAAACCTAAACTCCAACGCCTTCGCTAGAAACCCACTAAGATCGAAAACACCCAACAAAATGACCTTTTTTCACCCATAACCATCACCGAACACCCATCACCTCAACACCGTTCAAACTCACTTTACAACACTACTTCCATACTGCCCATTCACCTCCTTTAATCATCCGCTACGAAATCCCAGTGACCTCCGCCTCATCTCACCACACCACTATTTCCTCTCAAACTCTCTTCATCCTCTATCTAATCATTTTCTTTATCTATTTTACATCAACTAGTGCAATATATTATCCATTTAAGTCCAAACTCTTGGGATCAGTAAACATAAAATTCATTTTCATTTGTTTAACAAACAACGAAACGAGAATACCTAGATCAACATTCAAAGCTTTACCACTCATAGTCACAGTTACAAAACAATCCATTTCTTCCTTTCCAGCTCTCCCATCATGAATGTCAAACAGTCGGTGAAGACGACAACTGTTCCAACGGTGACACAGCCGCTCAGAAATCTAACTCTTCTGGCGACGGAGCTACCATTGAGGTTGTCAGGCGGCCTAGAGGTTGTCTTCCTGGATCTGAAAACAGGCCTAAACCTCTTGTTATCATAACACGTGATCCCGAACCTGCTATGAGTCCTTTTATTCTAGAAGTTTCTGCAGGAAACGAAGTCGTTCAAGCGGTTGTTGAGTTTAGTCATCGTAGAAATTTTGGTTTATGTGTTCTAATTACTTCAGGAACTGTTGGTAATGTTATTCTTCGTTAGCCCTAACTACCATCCCCATCATCGTCGGTAACTCTCGGAAGCCCTTCAGTTAGTCGCCCGTTCTCTAATTACAATAATCAGTCTCAACAATTAAATAGCCCTCAAATTGCAGTTGTTTCTAATAAGGAATAGAAACCAAAGCCCACAAATACATATAATCAGAATTCTAGACCTGCTACTGGAAGCCTGAGTTTAACGGAATTATCTTTTCCTGTCAACCGTCCAAGCATTTTGAAACATAAGTTTGTTGATGAGGTGATGGTCAGTGATGAAGAAAGGAAAACCAGAGTTGTTCGATTTAGAAGCAATAAGGCAAATGTTTTGGATAGTGAAGAGGAGAAGACCACTGTCAAGGGTCAGAGGTCAAAAAGGAAGAGGCCTTCACCTTTTAAAGAAAAAAATTTGTTTAATGACTTTGAAGGTGTTAGTACATCTTCTGGAGGTAATATAAATCACGAGAACATGGATGCAAATTGGATTTTGATGAAATTGGGAAGTGATGCAGAGTTGAAGTTCATCAGGCATCCGATAATTCTTGGCACAAGGGAGAGGTTACTGACACAGTTGAAGGCACCACAAAGTTACATGTTACTTATGATAATGAAAATTTAGTATCTTAGAACTCAGAAAGCAGGGGGTCCGTTTTGTTCCTCAAAAGCAAAAGAGATCGTAAACTAAGGATTGGTGCAGACTTTGACAATTATCGTAAGAGAATCTAAGAGAGAATGAGGGTGACGGAAGAAGAAGATGAGGTTTGAAACTGAGAAAAAGAAAAAATGGTGGAGAGGGTGGAGAGTGAGGCGTGTGAACTGTTGATGGAGAAAGGATGCAGATAGAGTTCAAAGAGAAAGGGAGAAGAGAAGGATAGAGGTTGAGATGTAACATGAGCTCAGCGGCGCCTTTATCGTTAGGGTTTACAAGTTTTTTTTTTTGTTCAAAGTCCAAACCAGGTTAGCCCATTGGGCTAGTTGGCCCAATTCTTGTCTTTTTTCCCTTTTTATATTAATAAAAGTTTAGTTATAATGAACAAGTAATTTAGTATAGTTGGTAAAGCACATCATCCATAATCAAGAGGACCCGAGTTCAACCCCTAGGGTGTTTTTTATTCTGTTTTTAGTTCATTTATCCATTATTCTCTTTTTTTATTAAATATTTGGTAATGAATATTAGGTTAGTTCATATAATTACTTCATACCATCAAAAAATACAAAAACATATTATCAAATTAGTCTTTATTTAATTTTACTATTTATTTAATTATTCTAATACTTGTTATATTTTATTTAATTTTTATTTATTTAAATACATGCTAATCTTTTATTTAATTTTTGTTTGAAAATTCATGCTATTAATTTAATTCTCGTTATTTATTTAATTACTCAGTTGTCGCTATAATTAACTTTATTCTCGATCGTTTAATCTTTATCTTCCGTCCGTCTCAAATCCAAGAAAAATGTTTTTTTAACTTCACATATTATACGATTTAGTGAATCCCTTCATTCATTTTAGTTTTTTTATTTTGCTAAACTTAAATTAATTTTCCTAAAAAACTCAATTTTTAAACTCACACCTTTTAAGTCAAAACTTCGACACTAGGTCGTCGTATCTTCAAAATATCTTCCAAATAAACCATTTTTAGCCAAACAAACCATTTTAATCAAACAAACAATTTTAATAAACATATATTTCAAAAGGTTCCCGCGGAGTACCGCAGATGCAATGGGTGCTAATACCTTCCCATTGCATAACCAACCCCCGAACTCTAGATCTCTTTTCAAAAATGCATTGTATTTTCATTACTTTTAAGTATTATTTTACATTGCATATTTAAGGGTTTTATTTCGCTCTTTTCCCTTTTCCCTTGGAAATAATAAAGCACGGTGGCGACTCTTACGTTTGTGAGTCGAGTAAATTAATAGCTCGATCTCCGATTTACCCCGCTACATTTTTTATCACTACAATATCCATCTTGCTTATAGTTGCTTGTTGGATTGCCCATGGATTCATGAGGTTGGGCCAATTACCTCTACCCTTCATCAGAAGCTGGAATTTGTTAGAAATGGAAAACTTGTGGTTTTAAAAGTGAGAAAGTGGTATTGGTGAGTCATCTCTCCTCATTTAGTTACCTTGACGTAAACGAAGCTGCCAGTACTTATTTTTAAGCCCTTTTGGTGGATTATGTTAAGAAGAGTGTGACATCCATCTCTTATCTAAAGGATGCGTAATGGGTTATTCAGCATGGTCCTGCCGAAGGACGAGGTCAAGTTCGAAATATTCCTGATAACAAGCACCGTGTTGGTTTAGGATGTTCTTATGCATCCGAAAAGGCTGTGAAGAAAGAGGTTGCTTTTCCCCTGATTGAAGATTTGTTCCACCATGGAGGTTTTGTAAATCCAGATTATCCTGAGGTTGATGTCATTATTGATGATGATTCTAAAGCAGGTTATCCAAACTTTGTAACGCATAGAGGGACCAGCCATAATTGGGCAACTGTTGACATTCCTTCTGTTATGCACATTTCAAAGTAATTAGCTTTTATTGTTTAAAAAATAAAATCCTTTCACTTTTCCCAAGGTGAAAGTTAATTGTTTGGGATGACCTTTGTGTTGCAATTGTTAAAATCATCAATAAAAGATATTTTGTTATCCATATTGTGTTTTTTACTATTTTTATTTTTCTGGAAAAATTGTAATTTAAAAAAACCCATAAATAATAATAATTTCAATATATGCATATTACTATCAAATTTTTTTTCTAAAAACAAGCATCAATCATATGTGCAGATTAGTTAAACAACCCATTGAGAATAATGACTCTACGCCCTCTCCCAACTTTGAATTTCCCGTGTATGAAGCTGAAGAGGATAAATTTAATGAGATCCCGGAAGAAATCACTTGATGGCTTGAGAATGAGGAAAAGACTATTCAGCCATACAAGGAGTCGTTGGAGTTGGTCAACTTGGGTTCTGAAGAGGATATGAAAGAAGTCAAGATTGGGGCACTACTAGGTCAAGATGTCAAAAGTTGGTTGATAGTGTTTCTTAGAGAATATGTGAATGTGTTTGCTTGGTCCTATTAAGACATACCAGGTCTTGATACAGATATTGTAAAGTATAAGTTGTCGCTGAAACCAGAATGTCTCCCTAGGAAACAGAAGTTAAGGAGGACTCATACTTACATGGCTATCAAGAACAAAGAGGAAGTTTTGAAACAGATTGATGCTGGTTTTCGTATCACATCGGTTTATCCGTAATGGATTGCTAATATTGTGCCTATAGCAAACAAATATGGGAAATTCAGATGTCTGTTGACTACAGAGATCTGAAAAAAGCCTATCCAAAAGATGATTTTCCTCTACCACATTTTGATATGTTGGTAGAAAACACAGAAAAATTCAATATATTCTCCTCCATGGAAGGATTTTCCGATTATAATCAGATCAAGATGGCTCCTGAGGACATGGAAAAGACAACATTTATCACACCCAAGGGAACATTCTACTATAGAGTGATGCCCTTTCAGTTGAAGAATAATGGTGTGACTTACCAGAGGGTGATGACTACACTTTTCCATGACATGACGCCCAAGGAAATAAAAGTGTACATTGATGATATTATTTCCAAGCCATAGACTAAAGAGGGTCATATTGTTGATTTGTTAAAGTTATTTCAGCGTTTGTGGAAGTTTTGTCTTCGCTTGAATCCAAACAAATGCACTTTTCGTGTTTGTTCTGGGATATTATTGGGTTTAATTGTCACCTAGAGAGGTATTGAAGTTGATCCTGATAAAGTCAATGCTATTCAAGAAATGCCAACACCAAAGACAAAAAGCAAGTGAGAGGTTCCTCGAACATTTGAATTATATATCAAGATTTATCTCCCATATGACTGCTACTTGCGATATGATCTTTAAGTTGTTAATGAAATATTAGGGTTGAGTGTGAAAATGAAGAATTTCAAATTTGTGGTGGAGGTTTGTTAATTTAACCTCGATATCATTGATTCATGAATTTTTTTGGTTTCTCTTTCAGATAGGGTGACATCGGCTGATAACAAGGCTCATCGATCTTCATAATTGCAGAAATCAGAATTGATATTGGATCAGGAGGCTTGTAAGAGGAGTTCTCTGACATGAGGTTGGGAGTGAAATGAGTATTAGATGCAATTTCTTTGCAATTTGGCTTTAGATCAAATGAGCTTTAATTGGGGAATTTCGCGAGAATTAAGAGCCGCTTCCTAACAGATAGTGCCACTATTTCATACTAGAACCAAAATAATGTTTGATTGATGATGATGGACTCTGAAAGCGATGCTATTGATCTCCAATATATTGGCGCAGGGGTGGACCTGCAAGGTTAGCATTCTAATGTCTAAATAAGTTACGAAGTCCAATATGAGTGAAGTGAGATTATGATATCAGAAAAGTGTACCCTTAGTCTAATGTGTATTAATTATATACATTGGATGACCTTTTCTTGGGGGATATGGATATATCAATCTCACCCATATTGGGCCTTTGGTAGGCCCCGAACAGAGGGGGACCATGAATTGATAAAGATAAAAAAACTAGTTCCACAAACATTCCTAAAATCTTTAGAAAAAATCTAGAATTTCACCATCAGAAGAGTTATGAAGAGGATACTCTCCTCCCAGTTTAGACAACTTAAAATATGAGAACCCAAAAAGCGTACAACTTTCTAAAACATCCTCGAAAGGAAACTTATTTTACAAGATTCCACCAAGACAATGAGATTGTCTTATAAGGCTTGGGTCGCCATCTCAATAGTAAGCATTTTGCATCCAACAAAAGGAGCTGAAAGCTTTTAACCAACCTTGTTCCTTTTGTTTGGACAAAAAACCTCCCCAACTAAGCCAAACTTTGAGAAACACTGACAAAGGATTGAGAGATATTCATTATCAAGGAAATTTGAAAAATAAAAGGAGTGAAGCTCCTTTGGCCAACCCATAACAAGACATGAGCATATACAACACAAGAAAAACAAACATCAGCATAACCAACGCAATGCAGTGAATGATATTAAGAGAGGAAGGAAATGAGAAGTCAATAGATGCTAAGGAGCTAAATCAAATGCAAGATGATATATCCATAGTTCTAGGATTGGTAGAAATTTTTCTAAAACATGGTTTATGACAAATTTTGAGAAATATGTCATAATATCTTGATCAAACTGATACATCATAGTGTGAGCTTACATTAAAGACATATGTTCTAACATATGTTGTGACATGTTAAACCAAAATATCATTACCTGTTGTTTTAAATCTTGATGGATTTGATTTGATTTTGTGATATTTCTTTGGATACATATCAAAGATCTAATATGGAAGATTTAATCTGGAAAAAATGATCTAATATCCAACTATACATAAGTTTCTAAAATTGGATGTTGAGATAATTTAGGAAAATTGATGTTTTGTTCCAAGATTTAAAGAGATTTTTCAGCATAATTGGTGCAACCCTCAACTTATGGATCAAGAAATATTTGGGTGAATATTTTGAAGCCCATGGATGACTAAGGAGTATTTAAAGAGAAACCTAGACCTAATGTAATTTAACTTTCACAATTGTAAAATTAGGGGAAGTCTAAAGTCT